CTGGCGCTGTCTATGCCGGGCATTGAGGCACGACGTTGCTGGCTGGTGTTAGAGGCGGAGAGCGAAGGGGTCGAGGAGCGGTCCGTGGGAGGGTCGGGAGGTCGTTCCTTGGTTGGGGAGCGGGTAGACGATGGTCCGTGGGACGAGCGGTGCTTGTGTTGTTTGGATTTGGAAGAGACGCTCGAGGAAGTCGATGCCTTGCGAGTCCGGTCCCTGTCGCGATCTCGGTCATTAGGTCTCAACGGTAGATGGAACATGACGTGGGTGTGGGTGTGAAATCAGGCGGAAGGCTTCGAATCGAGGTGGATATGGAAGGTTGGAAGACAATCTTCCCCCCTCAACACAACCCCTTGTCTCCTTGCTCTTCGTCCCCACTCTTTCGCTTTGAATCGGGTTGTATTGCGTTTGTAGTAGTTACCTCGAGTTATAGATCGCGAAGGTGGGATGAGAGGCCCAGCTAAACAGCTCTCACGGCGAGCAAAAGAAGAAAGAGTTTGTGTGGTGTCACAATGCGAGAAGGAGATCCAGATGATCCGAGAGCCGGACGGACTTTCGTCGTCTGGCGCTTAAGAGATCTGGAACCAAACGCAACTCCCAGTGGTCGAATGCCCAATTAGGCGCCTGTGTCAATCCACCGAGGGGGCTGCTGCAACCGATGCAGCATCCCGTGAGGGGCGCGGAGGGAAACGAACGACAAGGGTCGGGGAGGGCGGAAATTGGAAGATAGTTCAGGCGCTTGAACAGAAAAATAGAGAGAAGTGACGAATCAATCGTGGGAATATCGTGCAGTATAGTGAGTCAACGTTAATGATCCAGAGAAGGAGAGGATTGCAGAATGCAGTGACCGTGCATGGAAGGAGATTTGGCGGGAGGATCGATTTTGCGGTGAGAGCGACTAGACTGAAAAGAAATAGAAGACAGACACACTGATTGACTCCTCCCCGCAGACTCCTCTCCAACTCGTTTGATTATTGCAACCCGATGAAGGGTCCCCGAAACTCCCTATGAACTGTGGACTAGAGAGCCACTAACCAGACTAGTACAGTAACTACGTAGTATTCTAGCGGGCAGCGAGGAGGGGTTCACTAGACTACTTGCATGAAGCACCACCTCAATTCACACATTAGAGGAGACAAATTAAGTGATCGGTCATTTAAAGGACCAGGTCTCGACCGCAGATAAGAGTTCCAGGACAATCAATGGAAGTTGTTGTGATTAAGACCAACCAACAACAACAACATTATCGTCATCAATCTCACCACCGAAACTTAGCGGTACATTCGACACCTACACCTCAGGCATCACCGCTTCTGGCGGGGATCCCGGGATGCCTCAGGCTGCAGTTGGGCTGCGGAAGAGATGGCGCCCATCATCGTCATCGTACTACGTACTACAAAAAGTCAACTGTACGAAGTGATTGCTTTTTTGGTGCACCCTTTGACTTCTTTGACCAAGCTCAGCGTCCCTTTCTTGTCGAGTTCGATCAGATCGACTACATCCCCGCTCTCCGTTTCGTTTATCGTCAAGATCTATGAATTTCTATCGCATAGTAGATCCGTGGGTCGGGGTTTTTGAGGGAGATGACATCCAAGCTCTATATGCTTGTATATACTTCTTAGTCTCCAGTATTCACAGTAGGTGGCGGTCAGTCCCGGACCGCGGGCCGCGTAGGTAACGAGTGACTCGATCAGACGGCAAACCCTCCCGAGTCCAGCTGCCTGGGCTCCCCAGCAGCATCAAAGGTTCCATTCGGAAGGACACGGATTGCTTGCGCTGAGCTCTGAGTCGGTGCAACCCATGTCACGTTGTGCCCGCGCGCCTTCATGAAGGCCACGGTCTCGTTGTTGTAGCTATACTCGAACGTGACCTGGTTGGGGATCAGCTGATCATGCAGACGGGGCTGAGCCAGAGCTTCAGCCGCCGTGAGACCACCATCAACAGCGTGGATGATGTTCTGGATGGTCGCGGTGATGATCCGACTGCCGCCCGCCGAGCCAGCCACGAAAAAGACAGTACCGTTAGGGTGAGTCACAATGGCCGGCGTACTGGACGACAACGGGCGCTTTCCAGGTCGGATGAAGTTCGCCTCAGAGGGAACATATCCGAACGAGTTGGATGAGCCAGGAATGGAGAAGTCTTGAGAAGTAAATTAGCAGAGAAGATATAAGGTCTGGTTGCCTTCACCTACCATCCATCTCGTTGTTCATGATAATTCCTGTCTCGGGGACCATAATCTTGCTCCCAAAAAGCAAGTTAATCGTTGTGATTGCAGATACAGTAAGACCTTCGTGATCGATAGTAGCAATATGAGAGGTCCCCGGGCTACAGACACCATTAGCTTGGCTCAGAAGGCGTGTCCTTGAGGTACGCACGTATCCAAGCTTTCAATACCTCGCGGGTCGTATGCTTTTATATCTTGCGTCTTGGAGTCGGAGATCTTCGCCCGGATTTCATCGATAGTAGATTGCTCAAGCATGTTACCCTGGTACTCTCCCATGTCGTCCACAAAGTCAGGGTCTCCCAGGTTTGTTCGCTATCATAGAATCAGCCCAGAGTCACACAGAGCCTGACATATTTTGTCTAGAAGGAGGTGAGACGTACCAGTCCATATCCGAACCGAATGGCTTCATCCAGCCGATGAATGCTCAGGTTCACATTGTCTGGGGCGAGGAAACTGTCGTAGGTATCCAAAACTTTGAGTATGTTCAGTGCAACAGTTCCACTAGATGGAGCAGTGGTGCTGGTAATTCGGTATCCACGATAGTCTATCTGTGAGATGTTCCGGATTTCGATGGCATAGCTACAAAGGTCATCAAGAGTCATCGTGCCATTAGCTGCTTGTACCGCATTGACCATCGTCTCTGCAATATATCCCGAGTAGAATGCATCAACGCCCTTCTTAGCGATCATCCCGAGGGTGCTGGCATAACGCTTCCGTGTCATGGTATCGCCGAGGCCGAGTCTAGTTCCGTTGGGAGCAAAGTCAATTGCCCACGTCGGGTCATTAGACAAGAAGTCGTCGCCGCCCGCTTCGGTGATCGAGGAAGCCATGTAGCGTACTAGATCCGGGCCAACCGGAAAGCCCTCATCCGCGGTCTTGATTGCTGGTTGAACAACGGCTGGCCAAGGAAGTAAGCCATACTTCTGGTGGAGGTATTCAAGACCACGAAGCTCGCCTGGAACACCACTGTAAATCTTGTTAGTATCAAGGTCTGTCATCGTGGGATGAGAAGCTGTACCTTGCAAGACCCCCAGTGACAGCTGCTTCCGTGTTGTTGACAAACATGTCCTCATATGCTGCCGCTGGGGCAGTTTCGCGAAAATCGATAAACTCGAACGCGCCGTTAGGGTCTTTCACTAGAATGAAGCCACCCCCTCCGATCCCGCTGTGATACATGCCTGGGCGCAAGACAAATTAGCTCCAAAAATTCCACTACCGCCAGGGAAGGGGAATGACTAACCCACAACCCCTACGCAGAGCATCGTTGCCACCATCTACCGGCCTTCAGGTCAGCACGACTTTCAACTAATCGTTGCCACGCGGGATCTCCGTATCGTCTAAGTCAATAGACTTCAGAAACTCACAGCATCAGCAGCGTTCCCGCCTTGTAGTAGTATATCGGTTCCGTGGCGACTGCAGATTGCACTCTCACTCGCTACGGCGCCACGCTTGCCATCCTCCAACTCATAGTCCCAGCTCAGCTGACGAGTCGCATAGTCGAGAGGCGACGTGAGTACGTTCGGCAGATGTGTGACCAAGACAATTAAGACTAGTGTGGTTGGCAGGGTAAATCGGAGGATACGGAACATTCTCGACCTGTTCCGGGGTTTATCGTGCGATAAAGCCGACTGAGTGCACGCGACCGGGCGTTCCAAGGCCTCAAGGAGTGGCTATGAGAGAAATGCAGGTTAGGGATTTAGAGACCAGAAGTAATTCTTGGAACAGGGGAGGACTTCGTCTAAGTACCTGCTTCTCTGCATCTTGGTTGTCGATGAGATCCGGTTTGCAACCCTGCATGTTTAGTATACTTGGTGGCCGGATGCGGTTACTGGAAAGAACGATGGGCCTGGAACTACCACTATAATCCCGAGATGCCAGACAGACGGGGATCGACAATCGGAATAGTCAGCCTAGCTTAGGCAGGATAAGATACAGGTTGAAAGTATGAATGACAAGTGAAGGATACGAAGCAAAGAAGATTCGGAACCGGTTATGTTAATTTAAAGAGGCCGAGGGCTCTCTGATCATTCACACCCCCTTCCCCTCATTATCGGACTGACTCCAACGGCGATAAGGACCACGACAGTTTAGTTTCCTGCAGAGTCCCGCATGCCTGGTTCCTTATCAGCCTCGACCAACAGCAATCCGAACCGCCACTTCGGCCTGGTCACCCGATGACACACCAAGCTCATCCAAAGGCGCAATACCTGCCTCATCCAATCAAAATTCATCTTGAAACGTGACGTGCATACTTTGGGGTAATCAAATCTCTGAATTCAGCAAAGCAAAAATTTGGTCCGACTTGATGCATTCTTCAAACCAGGGCTCAGGTTCCGGAAAGCCGGAGAGTTTCTGCTGTTGTCAACCATGCACCTTGACCTGGAGTGGGGTTTAAGCCACGCTAGAGTTTATGACTGGTCATTCGAAAAGTTATCTGGGGGCAACGGGAGGTCGCGATAAGCCTCTCCTCGCGTCTCTTGTCCTCGTGAGCGCCCTTGGAAAGAAGTATGGTAGCCGTGACGCTTTGCAAAGACAACCATACTTCTTCGGGTCAGAGAGAGTTTGGGGCTCTTGTTGATCATTCCGCACGATGATACTGACGAGAAGCGCCCTTCGTCAATGCTAGAAGTGAGTAGACTGCGTTTGGAAGACTTTTAGAAAGAAAATGTCCCAGATCATGAGGTAATTCCCGGGCGGCCCGTACCCAGAGAATCACCTTTGGATTGAGACAAGGTCTCGGATGCACCTTTCAAGAAGAAGAAATCCAGATATATCGAAGTCAGTTTTCAACCATCTCGGAACGGCTACTGGAATACCGATGCCGCACGTCTTTCGTCATGACAATATTCCTTGCTCTTGCTTTTGCCGTACCGAGTTTACCAAATTCAAGGCCTGATCTGCCATGAATCGTGTCCTTTTCAGTGAACCTAAAGCCTTTGAGGCTGGTTGAGTCCAAGCTGACACATGTGAAACCCCATCATTCTTCGAGTTCAACTGCGCTCCTGGTCCACGAGATAGTGCTGGCCCAGATCGAGGGAATTTCATCTTCCGGTTGTAGAACGGTCTCGATGAGACGACGGCCCCAATCTCGGACAAACCATTTGTCTGAGAGCAAATGAAGTCCAACGCCGTAGTGTAGAAACAGAATACGAGCCACCCAATCACCCTGCTTGAGTAGATCGATGTAGGCCTCGCTAATATTGATAGGCCATGCGATTATACCACCGTTCGGGCCGCCAAATGGCCATCTCTTGATTGCTTCATGAAGAATCTGCCAAGTAGCCAGGTATATTGCCTGATTTGGTCCACCGATACTGTTAAACTTCTCTTGAACGCCCTTCAAGGAATCCATGATTGCACTTGAAGTAGATTAGCATCTGTGAAGTAACTGCTGCCAGACAGGCGAAAGTAACATACCTCCGAAGACTCAGTTGGGATTCCCGAACTCTATAAGAAGGTCAATTCCCCAGATCAGGTCAGAGGTGAGAAGGGTGAGGATTACTGATAAGGGTTGCCATCCTGATCGACTTCATCGTCCTTCCATTTCAACCATCCTTGCAAGTCACCCCGATACTCCATGCCGTTGAGTTGCACAAATAAGAGTGCGCAGCCAGCAATGAGCTGGCGAATCTCTAGTACATGAGACAACGGCTCGAATGTCTGTCTGTCTTCGGAAACACAAGGATACGCCGTTGCACACAGCATGATGAAAATGGAGCAGATAAAAGCTGGCCCACAAGTCTCCGGGGAGATGTCCGCCAAGACTCGACTGAAGGCTGAGCAGGCGCGGCTCTGATATTTCAAAGCAATCTCCAGCCACGACCGGTTGTCATGCTGCTCCAGATAGGCAAGATGAAGAGCAGATAGTGCCAAAAGGCTGTCCATCAGGAATGGGTGGGACACCACGATTCGCGGGATGACGACTTGGAAATGGTGTGCGTCGAGGCGACCTTGACAGAGAGTGATGTATGTTTCCGTAAGGTAATGATGGAATAACCTCATTTCGAGCATTCGCGTCTGCGACGAATCTGCTTCTGGGCCGGATACTGTCTCGGGTGATTCATGTGGTGTGGAGGGGTTTTGACCATCCGCATCATTGGACGGATACGTGCAATCCAATTTTCTCTTCTTGCACAACCCACATCGAGGCGTCTCTTCATCGCACTGTGCACTACTGTCAGCGACTAAACTGTCAACTTCTGGTCGGAAGCAGAGACTAAACGGCCGCTGAGTGAACCCCAGGGTATCCGGTTGGCGGGAAGATGGGATTGAGATAGTAGCACGCAAGGACAGCCACGGCTAGCTAGTATGAGATAGAAATGGCAAACCTTCACATGTCGCTTCTTACACTGAATGCAACCCTTCCGGGATTTGGTGTGGCTGCGGCGCGAGGGCATTAGGCTCGACTCAAATTCGATAAAAACTTAATCCGGAGTCAGCGTTGGGATATGATGCTGTGATCCTCCGGAGAGTAGAAAGCTATTGGATGCCTCGGGGCTAATTGAAGTTCTCCCGGTCAAGACAACAATTACTGTATCATACGGTCGGTTGAGCGAACCGGAATGAATAGTAGTAGTAGGAATGTGAAACGAAATGCTTCGTTGCGGAAACAGTTCGATGCGATTAAATAACTTGTTTGAAACTTTCAAGTCTGGATGGGACCGATTTGGTGAGACTTGGTAGTTCATGTAGTAGCGGAATATAATAAATGGAAATAACATACCACGAGCCTTGAGCTGAGGCGATGATTGCGCTCCAGGGAATAAATAGAGGAGAGGCAGTTGGTGCCGAACAGCGGCCGGCTGGGAAGGTGCAGCCGGCCTTAGCCCCAAGTAGTCTTCTCTGATTTGCTCGTCAGCCCACTGGGGCTGACTAACTGTCTGCTTATGCTTAAATTAGTACAGGTACAGTACAGGTACATAACGTTACAGCCAGGTACGTCAGCCTGGCTAACTTAAGTTAGTAACTACAGCGAGTATCACATTGTTTTGTATGGATGTCTGAGGCACTTGTAGCTAGGTACCTAGGTATACAATATATCTTTAAGACAAAACTAGCGATAGATCACGGCATACCCTGAATGACAGAGCATGTTTATATCTCGAAATAGACACGAAGTGACATTGATTTGCCAAATCCCGATTCTATCGACTTTTGGTCTTTCTAACTAAGCACACGACCGGCCGGCTATGCACGCTAACCATAGAAAAAGCTGAACAGCAGCGAAAAACATTAAAGTCGTGAACGTTTTCAAGTAGTCAAAGCGAATGGTAAGGGGAACCGAGAGATTGAGGTAAGTCCGGAAGAGGTCTTTTCCTCGCGCATGGCATCATTCGAACGTTGTTTGCGTATGCAAGAGATAAAAGTGGCTCTTCCATCCACCAGCAAGCCGATAGATTAAGCATCCTCCTCTTCTCCATCCGACTTAGGATCCCGCACTGACTCGCCACGACTCGCATCAATAATCGCACTGGAAGTCCTCACTTGCTTCACACCCGACCTCAACACCAATTTCTCCTTCTTAGCTTGAGGTTGGGACGGGGCGGGGGAATTCCATGAAGCGCTGCCATCGTCACCCGCAAGAGCAGAGTACATAGTGGTAGACCAAGAACTGCCACCAGGTGTTTGGAGACCAGGCGTACTGCTCCGCGAGCTACTAAGGCCGTTACTTCTCTTTGAAGCTGCGACCTGCGCCCAGCCGCCCTCGCCGTTCGCATTCTGCTGGGCCCGTGCAGCTTCGCGCTGGGCCTTTGCTTCCGCTGCAGCGAGTCGCTGCTCTTCCTGTTCCTTGAGGCGTTGGCGATCACGTAACTTGACGCATTCCCCGACGCTCATACCGCCAATACCAATGGTGGTACCGTTGCCCATGCCCAGAAGAGGGGGAGTCCAGGCAGTGGGTTTGAGAACAAACACATGGCGATGAGGCTCCGGATCGAAGCTCTCACTGGCAAAGCCCCAGTCAGCGGCGAGGGAGTGTGCGAAGGCACGGAGGGGAGATTTGGCGGGTTGGAAGCGGGTGGAGCGATTTGCTGGATTCTTGTTCGTGGCGAGGCTGTGGAGGGTCGATTCATAGGACTGTAAAGTGGATAGAGGATACGACGATGAAAGCTGGAGGTAAATATCGAGAGTTTCAGCGGAATAGGGTAGGTTGGTGGAGGTGAGCGCCTGAGAAACAGTCGTCGTCGGGTTGATATCGACGCCAAGCGCAGACGCCAGAGAACGGTTACGCTCGAGGCGGGCGCATTCCTCGTCGCACGCCAGCGGGGACGCTGATGGAAGTCGCTGCGCCTGCTGGAGGTGGCCCTTGGTCACAACAGCCTTGGCTGCATTGCAACGTCGCTCCTGTCGAAGTCGTCCACAGCTACATGTTACTGCGACCATAGATGAACAGGGGGTTTTCTCGGGGCACGGATAAGGAGCGTGACACTGGTCAGAACAGGGGTGACCACACAGCGACTTAGTCTTCCCGCAAGCTTGCTGACAAGGCTGGGAAGCATCTTCACAATCACCCGGTCGATGGCAGTTCTTCTTACAAGTATGAGAGCCACACTTGAGGAGCTTGCCGCAAATCTGTCCGCACCGTGCATCTGCAAGCCAGCACGGCTGATTCTTCAGCACACGTTTGCCGCACAGGCACGCCTTTTCCGTCAAGAACGGGCATTTCGGGCAATTTTCATCGTCGGTGTGGCAATTATGGGGCGTCTGCGGGTGACCGCACGGTTTAACGCGCTCACAGGGGTGTGAGCAAGCTGGAGGCTGTGTCCCACAGGGCAGAGGCGGATACAAGACGGATCGACCGCAGTTACACGGGATCTCTTCGAATATTGCCTCCCTGCAAGTGTTACAGGGCCCTTTGTGACAGATCTCCGGGCATGTGTGCCGCCCGCATTTCAGCATACGGCCACAGACCCGGGTACAGATATGTTCAGCCTCAAAATCCTCGTCGCTTGGTCGAAGATGGGATTTGAGCTTTCGCCGGATAGCCTGACGCTCAATTGCCTTCTGTTCGCCGGGGCAACAGCGCTCTGCGCACGCATGGCGACCGCAATGCAAGCCGGCTTTACATATACGGAAACATTGAGGTGGCTCAAAGTCTCCCGAGAAACAAGTCGTCCGGAAGTCATTGCGGCCACATCGGCAATGGATCGTGACTTTCTGCAAACAAGGCCCACACGATCCGGTATGGCAGACTTGCTCGCAGGAATGTCCGCATGGTAAGGACTTCCCGCAAGGCTTCGAGCAATTGGGAATGGGGTCTTCGCAAGTAGTTCGGGGCGAATAACCCGCAACGTCGGTTAGAGATGTTTTCCCACACGGGCAGAAAAGCACGACATCGGGCGATCGGGGGCAATGAGCGGGATGCGCATCCTGGGCGTGACAGGACTTTTGACACGAGTGTAGCCCACAATCAAACTGTCGATTGCACTGATCACCACAACTGAAACATCCAACCCATTCTTCAAGCTCCCCCCCGCCGTCGTCTTCGCTGATGCGCAGGGCTTCACTATCCAACTCCTCATCTTTGGAACTGCAGAGCATCTCAGACTGCGATTTCCCGCAATAGCAGCGCGCATCGATTTTGACCTCGCAGGCACCGCAGAGGCCCTCATGGCACGGCCGTGGGCAGGTGTGCTCACCACAAGGCAGCAGATCGCCACATATCTCGCCGCAGCTCCATCCATTATCGTAGTCGGTGTCCTGGCAACGCTTCGTAGATGAGTTCCTCCCACAAAAGCAATCCTGGGTCGGACCCATAGCAGTACAAGGAGCGCATGGACCAGCATGGCACGTCGCATCGCAAGGGTGTGGACAACCTTTTCGCGATCGCGCGCAGGTCTGTCCACACGAATGGGGCGGGAGACCAGGAAATGAGCGTGGGTCAACCTCCTTCTGACACCAACAGGAGTAAGAGAAAGGAAACACTTCATGCGGCAGATTACAGCCCGGGCAGCGCCAAGCACGAGGAGCGCTGCTTTCGCCCTCCTCGCCCCGGCGACGCGCCGCATCCTGAGCCGCCGCGCCTTCGTTCCTCGACCATTTCTTCACACAGCTCAAGTGGAAAACCGTCCAGCACAATCCGCAGGACCAGATACGAGACCGTTTGCCCAACTCAGATGTACATATCGGACATTCGTAGAGGTTGTGAGCGATGTCTTCGTGGATTCGAGTGGCAATGTCCGGTGCCGATGATTTCGTCGTAATCTTGGGCGCAGGCGGAGGAGGGGGCGCGGATCGAGGCTGGCTTGGGTTTTTCGCTTTCGATTTGCCCTTTCCACTCGCAGAAGCACGTCCACTTTGTCGAGGTAGTTCTCCGGCTGGCCCTCCTGGGACGAATGCTGGCGCATCTGCTCTCAATCCAGCAATGTCCTCCGCGCCTGCGCTCTGGGGATCGACATCTTGAGTCTCCTCTGACTGCTCTGGTTTGGTCAGTCGACCCTCGAATCTTCGCCCCCCGGTAGTGACTGCTGAGTGGTCAGCACCGCCGCGTGCTCGACCATGTCGTCGGCCTCCATTCGACTGTGCGCCTGCGCCTCTCGCCCCTCTTCGGCTTCCCCTCGGTCCTCTTGGTGGATGGTTTGCGTCGGGTGCAGTCTGTGTCGCAGAAGGTTCGTTCTGTTGCAATGGGGGGTTCGTAGCCGGGTGTGCTGTCGTTTGTTGTTGAGATTGTGTTTGTGCCTGTGCCTGTGCCTGCGCCTGTGTCTGTGGTGCAGATCTGTGAGAACGACTCCGATCGCCACCACGCCCTCTACCTCCGCGTCTGGACCTCGTGCGCGGGGTAGTGCTGTTGCTGTCTGCCACGAGGGCTGGAGAGTTCGACATCGTTGGCTCCAAGGTCCTTACAGAGGCGTTAAGTTCGGAAATTGCACGCGGAGAAAGCACGTCCATGCAACAGCACCAATCAAGGGCCGAGTACAAAATAGGGAAAGCGTAGATCAATCGGTCGTTGATAAGGAACTTGAGAAGCAGGAAATTACTGCCGCGAAAAGATCGAAGATGGGCTTCCGCTCGAGTGGAATGGAAATCTGTGAGCTGATCGATTCCAATATAGCTATAGAAGGAGACCGAAGGCGAGTTCAAATCAGGCAGGAGGGCGCCACTTAAAAACCAACAGAAACTGGTGGAACTCAAACAGTGATTTTGTTCCTGAAGTACGAACGGGTGAATGTGGTTCGGGTGGCGGCGGTTTGCCTCCGAGAGCTGGTCAGGACTCTTGTCGGAACTCTTCACACTTCCAATTACTTCACAACTTTCGCTACGGAGGAGTTACTCTTCTTAATCTTAATGGTTCGAACGCATGTACTCATGTATAATCAAGGGCCTGGAAAGCTGTCAGGTCCAGATCACCCTGGCTTTTCCTGCAGCATGACTCATGCTGGTCTAGTGCTGCGCCTTCGACTCATCCTGCCAGTGAGATTACTCATAGCGGGTCATCCCTCATGGTGCTGAGCTCAACTCACTCAAGGGACAATTGGAGCGAACACTGACTACAGGGGTTATCTAACACCGCCCGATAAAAAAAAGTTGTCTTCATTAGGTATAGGGCTAAATTGCTCTTGGAACACAGGCAGGCGGATCCTCAACCCATGTTTAGTTGAGACATAAGATCCTGAAAATAAACGCGAAGACAGCCAGCCAGAAAAAGCATCCGAAACACCACTCTAATACAACGTAGGGGGAAATCAAAGAACAATAAACTGAGCAAGAAAAGGCAAAAATCGAAGGCATCCCGAGCAATCAATCGTAGGCTCGGGACCGGTGCTGAACATATGATATCATCAAAGAAACAACAAACACGCCGATAATTGAGATAAGGAGATGCACAACTGCTGAGAAATTGTTCACTAATCATGTCGTACGATCTCTTCCATGACAAAGGAATGAATGTGTTCGAAATACCCCGGCTCAGCGACACTATCATTGTGTCCACCGTTGGGAAGAGTACGCCAGACTTTACGGCTGGACTTGCAGACAGCGAAAAGCTGCGTCATGTTGGACGGTCTATTTAGGTAGTTTGTTAGCTTTGGGGAGCTGTGGAAGAAAGGCAGTTGACACTTACGGTACAATCTCATCCTTCAGCCCGCTGAGGAAGAGAATAGGCACCTTCGTGATTTTAGGCAATACCTCTTCGCTAGTCCAGTATTGATGGCACAAACGAGCGAGATATCGTGCGGGTGGAAAGACTCTAAGAAAAGTCAGAAAATCGCCCTCGACTTGTTGGTAATAAGTGTGCGGTGGGTCAAGCCGAACATACGTGGGAATCAATTTGCGAATGCTCAGGAAGGTATTTTCGAGGATCAAGCCAGCGATTGCACCCTTGTCTTGGTTCTTAGCCACAAGGTCAATCGCGACCGCTCCGCCCAGGCTCTGTCCATATACAACGATCTGGCTATCCTTGGTCTCGGCCCTTTGTCGCAGATAATCCAAGCCGGTTTGCGCATCAACCTTTAATCCTGCCTCATCTGGAGTACCAGTCGAAAGGCCGTAGCCGCGATACTCCAACATCAACACATTGCAACCAAGAATTTCCTGAAGTATCTTGGCGATGGGGATGCGATGGCCGATGTTACCCGCGTTCCCATGAAACATCAACACTGTAAGGTCTTGAGCGATGCGTTTCCGTGTAGGGCGAATGAAGAGGGCATGTAGTGTTTCCCCGTCCGGGGTCGGAAGATGGAGCTCTTCGTAATCTGTGATGCCGAATTGCTGTGGCTTGGGGATATTGGTCCGGGCGTCGACAGGGACATTTCGAGGATAGATCAGCTCACTGCGCACGGGGTTAGATCTCAGGCACCGCTGTCATCATAGCCAGGCGCAAATGCGGGTCACTGCTTACTTTTGCTTAAAGTACAACAGACCACTGGCCACCACGGCGAGACCAGAGGAGGCCAAAACTGGTAGGCGCAGAAACTGAACGGCACTATTGGCCATGCTGGCGATAGTCCACGAGGGTGGAGGCGGCGACTCAGACATGCTAGCGAACGGAATAGTATAGCCGATGCGACAAAGCGGCGTTGCGAGTTGGGACTGGATCAAGCAAGTGAAGCTATCAAAGACCCCTAGACAAAGAAGTCGAATATAAACGGCAAGGATGATAATGCGAGTGAGCTTCGCAGGCGGCCAGATACTGGTCTAGGGGAAATTAAAGCGTCGGTTCGTTTCATCGGAAGTGATGGCTGGAGGGGGGGGGGAGACGTTCAGGAGACCTGCGGGGGATGGGGAGCTGTCCAGTAGGAAAGATACGCTGTCTCACCGCCCGGCGGAACCAGCTCCAGCTGCTGGCAACGTAACGCGCTCGCCTGCCTTGAGAGCTCCGTCAGAGCTCATATCCATCAACTCCTTCAGCCAGATACTTCTTGAATGCAATCATCATAAATTTTCATATCTTCGATTTTCCTCCATAGAAACCGTTCTTTGGCACACAGTCCATATACATACCCTTACCTATTCCCCACCCCCCCCCAATCTCGTCAGTCAGTATGGTCGGTCACGGCATGACGGGGATGCTCGGTGAAGGTCAGTGGTAACCTCATCTACTGGACGTCATGCCAAAGCTCACGGCTCTCATAGATGGTATTCATGTCGATATGAACCACCTGAAGAAGGGTGAAGTTAAGTGAGTTTATGGATTCAAGAACTCGTGTGAGTCAGTTAACTGATATACCATGCTTGTCCAGCCTCGGAACGTCAATGTGAGTGAGACTTTCCCTACATTATTACGACATCCTGTTAACCGACATCAGTATGGCAATCAACTTCAAGGACGGTGTTATATTGGGTGCCGACAGCCGAACGACCACTGGAGCTTACATCGCCAACCGGGTTACCGACAAATTGACACAGGTGCATGACACGATTTGGTGCTGCCGCTCGGGGTCGGCCGCTGACACACAGGCTGTGGCTGATATTGTATCCTACCATCTCAACATGTACTCGATCACAAACAACGAGGCGCCCAGCACTCAGGTTGCCGCCGCACTGTTCCAGGAGCTGTGCTATGAGAACAAGGACATGCTAAGGCAAGTTCTTTGTGCCCCTCCGAGCCACGAGAATTGGTCTTTTATTGACTATGGCAATGTTTAGTGCTGGCATCATTATTGCTGGATATGATCCTCGGCACGGAGGACAAGTTTACTCGATACCTCTGGGCGGATCCCTCCACAAGCAATCGTACTCCATCGGCGGATCTGGTTCAACCTATATCTACGGCTACTGCGATGCAAACTGGAAGGAGAATATGACTGAGGATGAAGGCGTCCAGTTTGTTCGGTCAGCTCTGCAGGAGGCGATCAAGTGGGATGGTAGCTCTGGCGGTGTGATCCGGATGGTGGTTTTGACGGCCAAGGGCGCTCAGCGACATCTCTACCTGCCGGACACGGGTTACACTGGCCCAGGTGTTACCAACTAATGAGTGTATCCGTTTGGAGTGATGATTCATATCGTTGTTAGCTGTCGATCAACATGACCTTTCCTTCTCCCTGGCACTGAAGATAGCCTCATTCTAGGCATGAGTTCGCCGCCAATGTAAGCGGTAAATCAGCCTGCTTCTGGACAATCAGGACAAGGCGTGGTCTCGTCAATCGAGAGTCAGGAAGAAGGACTATTCACAAACCACGGTCATATCTTCTAGCAAGTTGCGCGGTGCTTGCTCATCATATGCGTGTCTTGGCTTGGGATTTGACCTCACCAACTGCTCGTCAGCTCGAATCGAGCTCCTATCGGAGGTTGCCTGCTTGCCATGACTGAGGATATTGACCTGACTATAATTGTCACTCGGATCCGGCGGTCAGGGGCTGTCACTTTCAAAGTACCACCTCGTCTTAGGCTTCCTTAGAAGAAAGGCAAGTCTAAATAGGTAAGCCTGCAGTGGTGTAGGTAGTAGATATCTCGTAGCTCGTACTGCTGCGGCTATATCAGACCGGAGATTACTCCACTAAAGTATCAGTATCAGTAGTAGAGGTCGAGGATGTGACCGGTCGAAGGGCCTCGCGGGTTTTCTGGGACGAGCACCAATCAGTCAGCGATGATGAACACCTGCGCCTCTGCAGAGCCGCGATTCGCCCATCCCCCCTCAGACGGAGGATGATCCCAACTGCCACTATCCTTTCCGGTTTTTCTGGGCGAACTCGTCTGTACGTATACTCCGTAGTACCTACGGAGTACGGAGCACCTTGATACTAGATACTATTGATACTGGAGCCTGGAGGTGAAGATGTTCTGATGCAGGCTCAACCCGTCGTATGGAATAGGAGCATGGACAAGAACGGCTGAATGACCCGGATATAGTCCAATGCGGAAACATCTCGATGCGAGGCATGTTTCTTTCTCGACTGGTAACTTCTCGGAATTGAGTCGTCCGTAGTATGTATTAGGTAGAATGTTTGACTGGTGATCGGAGAAGAAAGGAGAGAAAGATAAAAAAGAGAGAGCGAGCGACCTCCCAATTGACGGATCATTTCAGTCTCATGATAATAATCCAGTCCATTCCGTCTCAACCCTGTCCAATGTTTCTTGTTTCTTTTTTTTCTTCCTAACCCATTTCTTTGTCCATTCCCTAGCTACCTACCTCTTGATTTTTTGCATTTTATTTTATTCTATGTTTGCTTTCTTCTCTGTCACTCGTAAGTTAGCATCCATTTATCTCATTCGGGACCTCAGCTGCCTTGATTTTGGAGAGGGAATTCTTGGTCCTCGGCTTGATCGATCCATCTACTTGCTACTTTGGTTACTGCATTCGGGGAAGGGAACCTCTCCTCCCCCGTTGAATAAATCAGAACTCCACCCTCGGGTCGGTCTGGGTCTTGCTGGGTGGTAGAGGGAGTGCTGCTGAGTGGCTCTGGATCTCGTCGTGGTGGACCCCAGCCTTTCTGCCCGGGTTTCTTGTTCCCTTCCTTCTTGCTGGTGCTGCTGGTGCTGCTGGTGCTACTGCTGCTACTGCTGCTACTGCTGCTGTTACGGCTGCGGCTGCATCATCAACATCATCATCCCATTCTCCATTCCATTCTCCTCTCCTCTCTCCCTACTCTCTCTCCCCTACCATCCATCCTATTTTCTATTTCTCCAATTGCCAATCGCCATACTTCCTACCTATCCATTCATCCATTCACTTTTCTTCGCCACCCGTTCTCCTCTCTTTATTTTTTTTTATCCAACCTTCATCCCCTTTCTTCAATTCATCTTGTCATCTCCCATCGCAATGGACATGTTTTCCACCGCCGTCAATTGCCTGTGATTCCTTATCCGCTCCAGGCTTGGGTCGGGTTTATCGCGCATTCCCCAGTGCTCTGACCCTCACTCGCCGCATCTCCAGATCCAGACCCTCTCTGTCTGCGCCTGCGCCTTCTTCTCCTCCTCTCGCTGCGCTCCCCCTCCCCCTTCGCTCATTGAACGATCTAAAGTAATCAACCCATCAATCAATCGCTGGATCTCGTACTTCTCCCTCTCTCTTTACTTGCTAGATTCCCCCTCTCTCCTCCTACCATCTTCTACTTACTATCTTCAATCTGATCTCAAATTTCTCCTATGACTTATTCTGGCCTTTCCTTGGTCTTCAATGACCCTACTGTCGTCTTCAGTCGCTAACCGTTGCTCGCCGGCCTGGGCTCTCTCTAGTTACAATATTTCAACCCCGACCACTGCCCGCCCTTCCATAAATTACCCTCACTTCTGTTTAAACCTGACATGGGATCCGTTATCGTAAATCATCCGCGATCGGATCATCTTGATACATCCTCCTACAACATGCTGGGGGGCGCCATACCTACTTCGGAATCTGGCTATCGATCCTCGTCGCAGACCCAAGCCTCGTTCCAACAACCCTCGTCACGTCTGGAGACCGGCGGCGGCTCTAGGTCGGCATCGTCTAATACCACCCCCACCTCGTCCACAGCCCCGCCGTCAACATCCGCCTCAGCTCGCCTCCCCTCCCACCAAACCACCCAGGATGTTCCGCCTTATATCTATCACCCTTCCGACTCGAATTCTTACCCCTCATCGCGGGCGTCATCAACCATCTCGGGTATAACAAGCGCCCACCCGAACTCAGCATCAATGACCACAACCACGAGCGACAGCCATCCATCTCGCTTCGATAACCACACCCATGCCGCGCCTCACACGTATGCCCCTCATGTCAGCGCCAGCCATGCACACGCGACCGCGGCATCTACGCAACACAACCGAAGTCATTCATCCCCCGCGTCACCGCAGTTGAGGCCGACTCATCAGTCCCTGCGCTCATTAGGTGGCTCGGAGGCAAGCTCGCCCAGTCGCATCAAGGTCCGCGATCTGTCCCATATACAAAGCTTTGCGAGCGAGGAAATGTTGGCACAAAGAGATCGGATGACGGGACAATGGGGTCCTCAAGAGCGCCAGTACGAAATCAGTTCCATGCCGGTCACGGACATCATCGAGATGGTAGCTGGGCTCTTGACGAAGATAACTACGACCAACGACATGCACCATGAGCATATCCATCGCCACATACCACCCCCCGACGGGACCTCAAACCTCACTCCACAGGCCGCCAGTGTTCTTGCCTTTCATGGCAAGAACGTACCTAGCATCAGCATTCTCAGCTATTTGACGAGAATTCACAAATATTGTCCCACCACTTATGAAGTCTTCCTCAGTCTTCTGGTGTATTTTGATCGCATGACGGAGCTCGTCAACCGGTCGCAACTTGAGCGATTACGGCGTCGCCAGGCCCGATCGGCTTCCATGCTGAGGACTGATGGCAATCAGCCCCAGTCGCTCCGATCGTCAAATGTACAGGCGACAGGTGCCTCTCCATTGGCCACTCCACCATCTTCTGCCAGCTTCGCCGCCCAAGAAGACCCGTCCACTCCGTCATCCATGTCTCCATCTCTGGACGCCGAGGACGAGGAAGAGGCGCTTTCTCACTTTTTTATCGTCGATAGCTTCAACATTCATCGGCTGGTCATCGCAGGCGTGACTTGTGCCAGTAAATTCTTCTCCGATGTTTTCTATACCAACTCACGATATGCAAAGGTACTTATTTTCGTCTTCTTCGCTCCTAATCCAATTATCTACATAGCGGAACTGACACCAATGCTGCATGCAGGTTGGAGGATTACCGTTGGTTGAACTTAACCACCTTGAGCTCCAATTCCTTCTTTTGAACGACTTTCGTCTTTCGATTCCTGTGGAAGAGCTTGAAGCGTATGGCACAATGCTGGTAGAGTTTTATGCTCGAGAGATCGTCTCTCAGCAACAGCAGCAGCAGCAGCAGTCGCAGTCGGGCATCCCTCGTTCAATCCACGCTCCTCCCGCAGTGGATTCTCAGTCCGATGGGATGTACATGCGCACCCGGGAGAAGCACCGACCTGACCAGCCGGAGGTTCGCCAAACCCCTACTCCACCCTAGATGGTCTACACAATGGGCCACGCGGGGCTTCCTTTCGCTCTTGGATCGACGATCCACACTGTTCTCCTTCGACAGGTGAACGATTTTCCCACTATCGCTTGGCTTCATGTGCGGGTGTATGTATCGACTGCTGGTTTACTATACCTCATTATTGGCGTCGCATATCCCCTTTGGTACATATATCCTAGTCCTGTCTTAATCACGCATGTTCCCGGCAGAACGATGATCGCAATCTATCTATAGACTTTCCATTGCGGCCGGCACGTTCGATCGTCGCTGGATTGCTCGGGTGGCTTGTCTTTTTTATGTCTACTGTGTATACAATTGCTTGTTTCCCCAGAGTATTTCGCCTAATCTGGTTTTGTCATTGGGTCGGCGTTCGTGATCTGTATTCTTGTCTTGTTGTCTTGTATGGGTGAAACCAATCTCAAGCATTGCAGCCTTCTTTCAAGTGTTCTTGATAGAACAACTGTATCAGTGTTGTCCATCTAATCCGGCTATTTATTGCGTGCCTTAACAAGTATTTCTGCTTATTTTGCCCATCTTGCTCATCTTTCCACCAACCGAGGTACTTCCATTGAACACCCATCAATATCGTGTGCCTAGCATTAATTATGTTATGACTTCTAAGCTAACTCCCCTTCCTTTCCCCTTTTGCCACAGCCGTCGCCGCTCTTCCCCACCGGAATGATATCAACCGTATGCGAGATAGTGCCACCTCCGCCCACCACTACCATAGAAGCTTATTCACCTAACCTTCGACCAACTCTCAGAAAAAACGATATACACCCGCGACTTCCCGCTCGAACTACGAATAGTACTCCCTTCGCCTCTCAGAGCGTGTATTACAAACACATACTGTGCAAGTTATGAGCATACTAGTGCACAGATAGATGATCCGATTACATCATCCCCCCGCCGATCACCCAGTCCAAGTGGGTACGGTTGGATGAGACTATTTACATAGTTGCCATCGTTACGTTATACTCCTGCTCCTCATACTTGTACCGAGTACAGTGTTG